AGGTACGCCTTCACCTTGTGGTGCCGTGCCTTGCCGTCGCTGGAGTCGATCACCCGGCACTCGTACGTCCCCTCGTCCTCCAGCTTCACCCGCGACAGCCGCAGCTTGTGGGAGATGTTGCTGCCGACCACCTTCACCACCTGCAGCAGGGCAGATGGCGGGTCAGGTGGTCCCCAGGACTCCCACTGCCCCCCAGACACCCAGCTCAGTGCCACCTCTGACCGTGTGCCACCATTCCACGCCCCAGGCGCGTTCTGGGGAGGACATGGTGCAGGTGGGCAAAGCCGGGCAGCTGGCACAGGGGGGACCCAGCCCCAGCCCAGGCCTGTGGGATGATGGAAGCTCTGGCTCGCACCCGGCCACGCAGGGCTCGGAGATCGATGCGGAACCACGCTGGCTAATTAGCTTTTCTACCAAATTGATTCGCTCTCAGTATTTATCACCCAATGAAATTTAAGACTTACTCACTAGCCATAGCCGTGGCTGCTCTGGGCTGGGTCAATAAATCAGATTTATAACCCGCCCCGAGGCCCCTGGCTCCGTTCCCTATAATCACACTGGATGGCAAAGGCCATTTTTCTACTCGCCGCTGCATTTGTTAGCTGAGGATTTTATGGTGTTTGGAAACGGGGCCAGAGAGAGGCAAAATCTGCCCCAAATGGCAAAGGAGGCAGCGTGGGGACCAGGACCCCTCAGTGTCCCCACAGCCTCACAGAGTGAGGGCAGCCAGCACATGCAGGCACATGCACACACCTGCTCACACATGAGCACACACACACTGCTGTGTTTGGCTGCCCTGCACACCATGGGCTGCTGAGAGGCAGCTGGTGCTACAGCTCATGGCCAGAGCCACCCCAGAGGGCATCTCGGGGCTGCTCAGAGCCCATGTGCAGCCATGAGTCCCAGTCCTGCATCATCAGGATTGGGGGTCTGAACAGGACAAGGCAGGGGCAGGAGCTGCCAGGTCCCAGTGAGAGCGTGCCCGGATGCTGAGACTGTCATGGGAAAGGAGCCTCAAAAAAACCTCTTTGTCGGGAGAGCCAGAAGTCACTGAAATTAATGGCTGGGAAATTTAGAACTAATAAAATAAAACCCCAATTTGCTGGTGCCGCCAGTGGCCACGGAGCCACTGCCCAACAGGTCACCGAGCCTCGGGAGGGAGGATTTTATGACCATCCATAACTCTCGTGGCTCCGCCAGCACAGACAGAGCAGCAACGGCCCTCACTGACCATGGGAGTAGGGCAGAGCCCCTGGCACGGCCAGGGTGGGCAGATGTGCTGTGCCCAGACCCAGCTCAGCCCTGTGCTGTGCAGGGAAAAAAAATTAACCCAGACCCGTCATGTTTCCCTTCTCCTCATCCCCACAAATGCAGTGGCTCCAGGTAGAGCCAGTGCCTCCAGCGCCAGGTGTGTTTGGTGGAAAACAAACGGCCAAGGGATTCCTGGCATGGTGGCTCCTGAGTGGGATTTACATCACCCCTCACTGTTTGGTGCTGCTGTTTGTTCCCAGTCACCCGCTGCCATGGCAGTACCACAAGTGCCATCAGAACCACATGTGTTCATTTACCTCCTCCATTCCGTAAACACTTCATGATCAAGGACATTCGAAATAACAACAAACAAAAGAGGTTTGAAGCTCCAGCCTCTCCCTGCTGGCTGGATCTGGAGGAGGCAGCAGAGGCGTTGCACCTCTAGCAGTTCAAAATAAATCCCAGTTACACCCTCACACACATCGATTCCATCCCGGCGTGCAATTAAATGCCTAATTATGCTGAGATGAGGGGGAGTGTTCGCCCCAGGATGGCTCCATGCACCTGCCTTTGCCCCTCCTGCCCCGGGAGCAGGGCTGGGGTGGGACATGGGGAGCAGCACTCTGAGCCTGCAGACAGGGTCTGACAAAGCCTGGCAGAGCCCAGTCTCTGGATGCTCCAGCAGCAGCCCTGGAACTTTGCTGTTTGTGGGGCAGCAAGCCACAGCACCCCGGTAAGGGACAGATCCTTGAGGGACCTGCTGAGGTTTGGATGTGGACTGTGGGCGTGAATTGATCAAAGGGGATGTGGGCCCTGGAGGGGGATTCCTTACCAGCAAGAGAATCACCTGCTGATCCCTGCAGACGGGCACTGAGAGGTGATGCCCTCTGTTGGGAAAGGTTCTGGCACTGTATTCCTTGTTAAAGACTCTTGGTCATTTCCTGGGGATGGGGGACTAATCTTGGGCACCTGGACAGCCTCATCCCCCCTTGCTTGCTCAGCGAGGGAAAAACGGAATAGCCAGGAGAGGCTGGCAGGGGAGGGGTGATGGTGGGAAGCACCTTCCAACACTGCTCTGTGCCTGTGGCACCCCCAAACACAAAGCCCCCCGAGACAGGGAGAGCCAGGGGCAGATGCTGGACAGTGGAAGGCCAAGAGTGTTGTATTTAACTGATTAGTGTCTCCTCATTCTGCTCACATGAGCCTAAATGGCTTTGGGATGCTAATCCGCTGAGCCAATTGGATTACTTTATCCCTGGCATTAATGTGTCACTCAGATACTGGACGGGGCTCAGGGTTCAGGCTGTGCCACTTGGTGCCAAGGAGAGTAGGTCACCCCAGCACCAAGCCAGGGCAGACCCAGCCCTCCTACCCCGGTGTTCCCAGCCTGTGGCACAGCAGCACTGGTGGGATGAGCAGAACATTCCAGTGAGCCCTCAAGTGCAGCCCCCCAAGAACCATCACCCAAACTCACACTGATTTTGGTTGCGTCCTTCCCGGGCTCCTCTGGTGGTGATGATTTCAGCTGTGGGAGGAGCAGCATGGGGGGAGACCAGAAAGGGAAGAGAAATGGTCAGCTCAGCTGGGAGTGGGTGAGAGGCCACCGGACCCCTTCCCACCCCCAGGGTGGCTGCCCCAGGCAAGGAGGAAGAGGGAGAAGGGAGAAGGGGCTGCTCAGCCCCAGCATAGCCAGGCACCCAGGGCAGATGGAGGCACACCAGGCACCTGGGATGGGAGGAACTAGCAGCACTACAGCAGCCAGGGGGCATGGGGTGCTCACCCACAGGTTCCTGGCATCTCAGCTCCATCATCCAGGACTGGGGATGGAGTCCCCATCGCTGTGCCATCACCACTGCAGCAGTGCCCCCCATCCCTGGAACCCTGTCCCCATCACTGCCAGCACCTGCCCCCATTCCTACCAATAATCCCCTTCAGCAGCCACTGGCTGGGCATTCCCAGTGCCCCCACCACCCTTGGCCCCGCCACCCTTGGCTCCTGGCAATGCTCCTCTTGGCAGCGCTGCCCCAAGGCTTCTCAATTTTTCTCTGCCAAAGAACAGGACAATAAAGGCTCATTAAAATCCCCAAAGCTGCTTCCCATTCTTTGGCCCTTATCTCTGTGTGAACAGAGAGAGAAATAAAGAGACGGCTGTTTGCCGGACCAATACACAGGGAAACAGGGAAAAAAAGGGAGGGATGGAGGGTGCAGGGCCAGGAAGGACGAGCAGGTGATGAGGTAGGGGGAGGTACAAGCACAAAAACAAAGATTCTACCTCAGACTGGTCACAGGGATGGGCCAGGCAGACCCTCAGCTGGGAAGGGCAGCCAGGACAGCCCAGCCCTGCGGGCCTCAGAGCACCTCAGTGCAGACAGATGCCATGCAGTGCAGGATCCTGCACCAAGGGAACCCCCAGGCTTTCCTCTCAGTGCAGAGAGGGGTGAGACCCTGCTCTGCAGGTCCGGTCAGCACTGGGAATGCTGCTGCGGTATGGGGTCCCCCACCGAAACCCAACAGTGGCTGCAAGCAAAGCCCCTTCCCCTGGGCAAAGCAGGGAAGGGCTCTGCCTTTCTGTGCTGCTACAGAGGGGGAGGACGAGGGGCATTACCTGGCTGGAAGCCCACGTCTGTTTGTCCGTCCAGTCCTTGTGGTTGCGGACGTACCACCACTGGATCTCAAGGGAGTAGGAGGGGGAGCCGGTGCCGCGGAAGGAACACGCCATCTCCACGTCCTCGCCCGCCTGCGCCGTCATGTCGTGGGGGGTCTCGGTGAAGAGGGCTGCGGGAGACAGAGCGAGGGCTGCAGGTTCCTGCAGGGGCACACCACCCTCCCAGCAAAGGACAGTGCCTCCAGCCATGTGAGCGAGGTCTCCAGGAGTGCCTGCATCCTTCCCCAGCCAAACAGACCCCATCCCCTCAGCAGAGCAGACAGGTCCCTGTCATCTGCAGCTTCCCCTTGCCCGAACCGGTGACCCGTCCCCAACCCCAGCAGAACCACCTGGCCCACCCAGCCCCTGGCACTTCCCAAAGAGCAGTGGGAGGAAAGGGAGGAAGCAGGAGCCTGCGGCCCCCCACTCCCACAGCACCCCTGGGGCCTCTGCCCCAGAGTGAGTGCAGGACCCCCTGTGCCTCCAAGGCGTAATAAATAAATGAAGCAAAAATCGCATCTCTCTCAGATCAGGGCACAAATGAAAAACAAATCCTCGGTTAATGCAGCCCCAAACAGGCTCCCACATGCCATATGGTTTGCTTTCCTCACTCAAAACAAATATTGTTCGGAGATGTAATTAGAATTCTTTTCATCTCCTCTGGAGAGATTGTTGTTCCTCCATACAGACGGCCCCGGCGTGCCGGGCTCCGCCAAACGCTGCTGCCACGTTCTCTGATGGCTCCTGCACGGCACAGCACCGGGACAGTGCTGGCAGCCCCCTGCATGGCACAGCACTGTTGTGGCTGCAGAGGCTGCCCTGTGACTCCCCTCCTCACCCACCACCTCATGCCGCCGGCACTGCCGGCTCACAGCCACTGTGAGGTCCCATCGGTGCCACCAGAGCCCCCTGGGACACACAGCCTGTCGGGAGCAGCGCTCTCACCAGCCCTGATCCCTCTGAAAACCAATTATTATCAGCCCAGACGAAAAGCTAATACCTCTAATATCTCCCCGTCCCTCTGGACGCGTGGAAATCCCATCCACTTATCGCTTTCCTTTAATCCATCTCAGCAGGGAACTGAGGAAAATACCCAACACCAGGGTTTACCGAGGCCGGGTCTCCTGGTGGGGTTCCCAGTGCTGCTCCTACACCCCGTTTGCCCAGGACCCAGCATCAGCAGCCATTTGGGTTCTGTGTCGGTGAGTGGAGGGAGCCACTGCCAAAGGAACAGTTCTGGGGGCCAAGGGCTGTGGCAGGAGCAGGAGGGTATCCTTGACACAGGGCAAAGGGTTCCTCTGTGCTCCCACCACAGTGGTGCTGAGGCTGTTGTGTCCAGCTCTTAACCAGCACTCGCCCACCTATTCCCTGGCCACAGCCAGGATCAGGCTCTTTCCCCACAGGATTCCTGCTGGAAGAAGTGAAGGCCAAAGGCAGTGGGTCCAGCAGAGGCTGTGCCAGCCCTCTGGGTCCAACAGCTCCAGCAGTGGAGAGGCAGAGTGATGACCTGAGGGCTCCAACCAGGTCCGAATTTTTCTAAAGACAAATAAAATCTGCTCCCACAGACAGGAATTCGGCAGAGGAGTGGAGAAAAGGTTGGATTGAATCAAGCACGTTCTTTCTTTCCGATTTTAGTTGGGAAGCATATGTATTAATTAACCCCAGGGCTCAGCCACCTTCAAGTGCATCCAGAGGAGGGCAGGTCCCATGGATGGATGACCAGGGTCATCACCTTTGCTGGGGACAGATGTCTCTCAGATGTGTCCTACAGCGGCATCGTGTGCCCTTCCCAGTGGATGCCACAGACCTCAGATGCCTGGACAGAGGTGATGGGGTGAGGACAGGACTTGATGCACTGCCCAGCCCCAGCTCTGCACTTCCATGAGGACATGGGCAGAGGGGATCAGGATCCCACCAGGCAGCCCCCAGCCACGAGTAGGCCCATGGCTGGGCATAGACCCTGCACAATGGGGCTAAGCTGCCAGCTGCCTGACCCTGCTCCGCACCAGCACCGGACAAATCACCAAACACGGCCAGTGCTCAGCCCTCCACCACCCCGGCCCCCTGCCCACCCAGGCCCCTCTGTCACACAGCACAATCCCTCTCCTCCCACTGACATTGTTGCAGTGTCCTGGTGGCAGGAAGGAGGGGGCCGTTGGGGGCCGTTGCTCCGCGTGCTTTATGGCCTGCTACCTGTCATAAACTGAGCACACCAGGATCGATAAATCTTCCAGGAAACAAAAATCAGGGGAAATAAAATGAACTCAATGGGGAAACACAGATAAACGGAATTGAAAACGCCTGCTGGGACAGCTTGGTGCTCTCATAAACTGGAGACAGACAGGCTGTGTGCTCCCTCCCTGCGGCGGCACCATCCCTCACCGCGGCCCCGCTCCACACAGAGAGGGTCTGTGGGCAGCGGGGATGGGGCAGCCCCCACCTGCCCTCTGCTGGGGCAAGGGCAGGTTGTGCATCACCCCGAGTACCTGGAAATGACCCACAGACCCCAGTTCCCATGGCCCCCCACCACAGCCCTCACAAGGTACCAAAGACACCCACGACTGGAGCAGCACCGTGGGCACACACTCGGGCTAATGTTTGTGCAAACACGTATTGGAGGGCAATTAAATATGCATTGGACGTTTGCAAATGCCTGTTAATCACCCGGTCAGCATAGGCGCCTGGTCCGGGAGGGATTTTTCCCCTAAGCCATGGCACCACCAGATAGCTGGAAGCCTCTTTCTCTGCCCAACAGAGCTGGAGCCCCTCACCAGAGCCACAGCTGGGCTGGTAGGGTGGCACATGCTGGGCAAACAGTGGGTTCTTGCTCTGTCCCATGCTGGGCACAGACAGAGGCTGGAGAAGCTGAGGAGCCCCTCTGCACCCACTCCTGCCCACTGGCATGTCCATCCAAACCCTGCCCTGCATGCCTGGCACAGGGCCGGCTCTGACCTGCTCAGTTTGAGCTGCACCACTGCAGGAAAAACAAACGTGCCCGACAGCATCCACCACTGCTGGCACCCTCCCCAGGCACCCACAACCCCTCCAGCACCTTCCCCTCCCCAGGCATCCCTGACCCGTGTGGCTGATGGAGCGACAGCCCCAGCTGCAGCAGCACCGTGTCCCGCTGGCAGCAAAGGCACCCGAGGCACATCCCGGCACACACACCGAGCAGGGACCCAGAAGGGGACGGATCCTCTTGGGTGCCACAGGACCCCCCACCCACTGTTGTGGGCTACTTGAGCAGGACACACCCCAGGACATCGGAAGGCACAGAAGGCACCCTCCGGATGGATCCAGGAGCAGAGGCCTGGGCGCTGCCCCAGTGCACTGGCCGTGTGACCCACACTGTCCCCACCGCGGGGACATCGGGGCTGCTGCGCAAGTCGGGCTAGAGCCTCCCTCCCCTTCCCACCACCGCTAACAGCTGTGGATGCCTCTCCTCCTGACAAGCCTGTGAGCAGGGATGCTGACCCCAGGGCACGGAAAACACATCACGGTGCAAACCGCTGCATAAACACGGCGTGACGGCGGCACTGGTGAGAGGGGGCAGGTGGCGCTGGCTCCGGCCGCTGAGCCGGGCAGAGGGCTTGGGCAGCGAGCGCTGCTCCCCTCCAGAGCCATCTCCCTTCCCACGAGACACGTCAGGCTGGAGCGTTGTGGCCGTGGCTGAGGCCGGGAGGCTCCCGCCACACGCTGGGGATGGCAGTGCCATTGCTCTGCCCCTACTTACTGTCACATTAGCAGCAGAAGGAGCTCAAATTTGCAGCATGAATTAAAAACAAAAAAATATCCAGCTAATTCAGTGAGACTGTGATCAGGCCAGCACTCACCTCACCGGGAAGATGGAATTAACCTTGAAACCTGCAGGTATTTTCAGCAGTGCCCCATCATGTCTGGATGCTCCAGCTCCTGCCCCCAGTATGTCCTGCTGCCCTAATGTTTAACTGCTGCAGGGAGAGATGTCAGTGGTGAGTCCCCCCAGCCAGGCCCCGGGTACACAAAGCTTTACCCAGGCAAGGGGACTCACTGCTCCTGGCTGGCTCCTGGGGAGACGCAGTTCTCAGACAATTCCCTCCCAAGGGGCACAAGGAAGAGCTGTTATTTGATAGCATAAGTACTAAAGCCCTAAAATGGCCTTTTTTGATAGCTCCCAGTGGGACCCCAGCAGCATGTGCAGCCATCCTGCAGCCACCACTCGCTCTGGTGCTCTCTGCCAGCGGATGGTTCCCAGCAGGCAGGAGCTGGGATGGGGCAGACAGGAGCTTTGCTCTGCTCAAGATCAGCCCCCTGGTGTCACACCCAGCACTCAAAACATGAGCCACCGG